AAAACCAGAGAAACTGCCTGTGGTCCTCCAAAATTGGGATGTGGAGGTATGCTTCCGTGAGATCCACCAAGGAGAGGAGTTCATTTGGACGAACACTCTCCAAAATGGATTGCAGGAAATGCATCTTGAACTACTGGTAAACTAAATAGTAATTTAGAGATTTGAGGTCGAGAATTGCTCTCCAACCCCTCTGAAGACTTCGTCACTATGAAGAGGCGGGAGTAAAACCCCTGTCCCTGTTGGTTGGAAGGCACCTCCTCTCTGGCCAGAATCTGAAGGAGATGCTGGATAGCTTTTTCCATCAACCTTCTTTTGATGATGTCCCTGGAAACCGGACATGTGACAAAGTATTACGGAGTGGGGATGGATAGAAACTCCAGAGTCAATCTCAATCTGATAGTGCAGCGAATCCACGCATTGTTGGTGATGGCATCCCAATGATCTGCAAAGGCCGCCAAGTAACCTCCAATGGGAACTCACAGAGTCACTTCTGCTTTCTGAATGGACGGTTGGAAGTTCCCTTGTAAGGCTTCCTGTAGGTGAAACGTTGGTTACTCTTGCCAGATCTGTCGTAAGGAGCAGATCCCTCCCTGGTGGGAGGCTGATGTTGCTGATGGGAATAATTGAAATCCCTGTACATGTTCCGAAAGGGCTGCCTGCGGAAGAAAGAAGATGATTTATTATCAGTCTTACGCATAGCAGAAGGCAGAACCTTTTGCTTATCTTTAAACTCAACAAGCATAGGCTCAAGTGGAGGTCCAAAGAGACGATCCGCAGAAAATGTTTCCACTTAGCTCTGGCTTCCACTGTTTGAGCCACAAGAGCCGTCGCGTGGACACTGAAGAAGCTATGGCCTTGGAGGCGAAGCATGCTGCATCCAAAGAAGCATCTACGGAATATTCCATGGCAGCCTTAAGATTGTTTAAGTCCTTGTGGGTTCTTGTGTCAGAAGGAGGAAGCCTTTCTTGAAGTTGCTTCAGCCAATGCAAAGCTGCCCTGTTAAAGAGGCAGAAGAAGATGCCCGCACCGCCCATGCAGAGACCTGATGCCCCTTGACCAAAGTCTGATTAAACCTTTTGTCCTCTGGGCAGAGGGCATCCTCAGAAGCTGCAGTAACAGCGTTGGGAGCAGACAGTGCCACTATCTGGGGTCGATGGAAGGTACCTCCAGCAACTTGGATAACTCTGAACTCATGTTGTAAAGTTATTTATCTAAAGTGGAAGGGAGAGGACCAGACCCTGGTGTAGCCCATTGATTCTGGACTACCTCCAGAAAAAGCTTAGGCAAAGGGACCACATCCTTTTCTACCATAAGCCAGGGAAAAAAAGGATCAGTCGTGTCAGTCTTGTCCTGTTCCGTCGTGGCAGATGGCTTGGCTGCAGGAATGCCAGATACCTTCTCCGCCTTAAAGAGAAGTGAGTGAAATAACACAGGTTTAAACAGTCCTACCAAAGAGGAAGGAGCAGGCGAGAAATTCTCATCATCGGAGAGATCAGAATCCCTGGAAACTTGTTTCTCCACCTCTGAAACACAAACCTGAGATAAAGAATCATTAGGTACCCTCTGTACGCTTGAAGGTTTTGCCTTCTTGGAAGAATGAGCTGCTTTGGAGGTAGAAGGCACAGCTGTGCGATGTTACAGATCAGCAGCAATGACTCTTTCTATGGCAGCTGCTATAATATCAGCCATGTCAGCATGGTAACAGGGAAACCCTCTTGGAGTAGGGGAACCAATATCTAGGTCAAGGGTTAGACTCCTTTCCTCTTCAGAATCATACTCATCAGGAACAACCGCCCCATCCTCAGGCTGCAAAGGGGATGCGGGGGGGGGAAGGGGGGAATGTTCCTCATCTGTGTCAGTGGACAGTTCTTCAGGAGGACTCTGGGCCCTTGGAGAAAGAGTCAATGTGGCCTGAATAGGCTCCTCACAGTGGCGTGACTTGGCCTTGGCCTTGTGAGGTCCTAAGGCAGGGGTACCATCCTGGACTTTAGAGGGAACCTTATTTTGTGCCAGAACTTTGGCAGGATTGGGGGCAACTTCCCTTACAGAGCCCGCCCTTTTCCTGGTTGCCGACTCCTCAGACCCCATAGGTGGTATAGTGGCTGGAGGAAAACCTTGAGGAGGATCTGAATTCAAAGTATCAGAGACCATAGACACCATTTTACTCACAACCTTGTACAGAGCTGTCAAAATTGTGGATGGAACTTTTGGTGCTTCAAAATGGCCGCTGGCACTTTTTCCCGCCAAAAACCTCCCAAGATGGCCGCCTGGAATTTTCGAGTCCTGACGGACTGTAAAGGCGAACCGACAATGCTGGTTATGTCGCCACGACCTCCTGGTCGTTTGAGGCTGCAATCGCTATTGCGATCAACAAGCAGCCTTAGCCCTGATAAGGGAATCTGCTGCTCCAACAACGAATCCGGCATGACATGGCAGCGGCTGATGGCTTGGAAATGGAGGCTGCTGACAGTCAATTATGCGGCCAAAGCCCAGAAGCCACAAACAAGCCGAATGGCTAACGGAGCGGTGGAGCCTTAGTGGAACACAGCCAGGTGTCGAAACGGCAACAAAAAGACCAGAGAGAAGAACACGTGAGCCCAATCCCCTCAGAAACCGTTAGGACCAGGGAATAAATCCCGCCCAAAACCTCCGTACCAAGCAGCAAGCTCAACTCAAGGACCTGGTGACAAGAGAAGTCAGGGCCCTGGTCTCAGGTTGCTGCTGCTAAATGCCAGGTATGATTCATAAAGCTCCCCTCATCCGGGACTTAATACGAGACAAGGGGGCATGTATTACTGAAACCTGGCTGGGCCATGAAGGAGGAGTCCCCCTCTCAGAAATGTGCCCAGAAGGGTTTCAGGTGCTCCACCAACCACAACACCATTGTAACAGCTTACATTGAATACAACTAAAATACTGGAGAGAGGTATACCCGCTTGAACATCTGAGCGGCTGTCTCCCAATCAGTTCCCTTGCTCCCAAAGAGCAATAAAGGTGCCTTTGGATTTACGCAATTCACTCAGAGAAGAAATTGGATATATATAGGTCTGCTGATATATTTATTGAGAAGCCCCACATGTTATTAGCATGCACTTTTGATTATGAGATCTTGTGTTTTACATTAAATAAAAATAATTGTTTATTCTAGTATGCTATTTCCATAGTCATTTTCAGTACAAGTTATGTCATTCAAAACTCTCAAATATATCACAAATTGCCTTATTGTTATAACTCATTTTAATGGTCTGAAATGTTTCTAATTTTACTTAATTTTAATTACAGTTGTTAACCTCAGTGCGTTCACTCTTGGAAATATACCTCATCTAATTTTAATGAGACTACTGAATAAAACATGCATTTCACTATTTTCCAGTTCTTATTTTTTCTAACTAAATCATAAATTCTATCAGTCCTTTGACACTGAGCAGATAAATTGAACTGCTATTATTATCTCTAATTCATCCATTCAAAAACACTCTAGGATCTTGAGCACCAATCATTCAGTCAATTCCATTCAAAATATGTCAGGTAACAAAATGACCATAGTTATTATTAAATCTATGGCACACCTAAGCAAAAATCAGTGAAATTCAATAATTATCTAAAACACAATTAGTTAGATTCAGAATATCCTTACTGGAAACAGAAGAGCTCTATTATATTATGCCCATTCTACTTGTTTATCATTTTTCACTTACTTTGCTAATTTAGGATTTCCTGGTAGAGCTGCCTTTTCCTTTTACAAATTGAGCTGTCCTCATAGGTCCCTGGTTTTTTCACCTTGATTTCCACAGCTATTTGCACACTTGTCTGTTTTCATACATTAACAGAATAACAGAGTTGGAAGAAACCTTGGAAGTCTTCTAGTCCAATCATTCTTTTGAGGTTCTATTGAGACACTAATGCGAATCCATCTTCCCTCCTTCCTTCCATCTCTTTTCTCTCTCTCTCATACTATCATCACTTTTAATGCTGTGATGATTAAAATAAAGGGAATAAGTTGTTCGTTCCTATGTTCCATTGTAAATCGATGAAATTATAAGAAGGAAGAACTCATGGAAGCAAAGTAGCATTTACTTAAACTTGGTACCTTCATTCCAATGTGCTTGCTTATGTTGCAACTAAAAAGATAAAGAAAAGGGGAAGTTTGGCAGCACTGTGGGAAGAGGATAGAAAACAAAGGGATCCTGCTTCAGTCAGCCTGGGAAGGACCTAAAAGGATGCCCAATGGCATATCTAAGGCTTGAGTGGCATAAGGACTTTCCACAAGGAATGGGTTGAGGAAAGTTCATTGACTTAATAGGCCGCTGTTGAATCAACTACAAGATAATTGCAAAATGGAAGTTGCTCATCATCAGAGAACACAAGAGCATGACAGTGCAAGATGAAATTGCCGCACAAGGCAGTGGCCAATCCCTGGAGGGAAGGCATAGGCCAGGAGCTGTTTGCCAATTAGAGGAGTTACCGTAAGATTGAAAGTAAGCAGTGCAGATCATCTGCTTGGAAGAAGGCTTAAGAAGGTTTTTGGAGCAGACAATTTGGAGCAGATCTTCAAAATAAAGCCAGAGGGTGTACTTGTAGTGGGTTGTGAGTGTGTAGAGGATGACAACTTCTGTTCCTGGGCTCAAGAAGTAGTAGATGTCCCTTACTGGCGATGAGGCAAACAGAAAATCTGCCCTGTAATATGGAAGGAAGGAGACATCAATGGTCATAATCTCCTTAGGCTAAGTCCTGTTCTACTTGAGTAATTAAATTCATTGAGCAATTTTGGCACCTCACTTTTTTTTTAATGATTCACCTGCACATTTAGTGTGTGATTACGCAAACTTATACAATATTGTTCTTCTGTCCTTCAGGTGTGTCCTTAAAAGAGTCTATTGTCATAGCAAAGAAAGAAAATTAATTCTTCAATGAGCAGTGAAAAATAACTTTAAAAAAACTTTGCCATTTTCTTTTTGCGATATTCACTGCCTGACTCTTGTTTTTTCTTTTATGTTCAGAAAAGAATTGAAAGATGGAAGACGTAGTAATTGCCGGTATAGCAGGGATGCTGCCAGAATCAGAAAATTTGCAGGAATTTTGGGAAAATTTGATCAATGGAGTAGACATGGTTACAGAAGATGATCGGAGATGGAAACCAGGTAAGTTAAATAATTCTTGGTTGATGGTAGAAAAAGAAACTTAAAAAAAAGCCTTTATGTGCATTGGATTGAATAAGCAGAAGTAGGATCAAATGAAATCATTCTTTTTAAATGATTGAATTGTTTTAGACGGTTTGATCATTTTCCTATTTTATTTTGATTAAGAAAGTAGGTCATTTCCATCAGAGGTGGGCTGTTGCCGGTTTGGCTCAAATCGGCCAAACCGGGAGTAGCAGCAGTATGAGGCTCCACTCACCTTCTCGGACGCTTCTGCACATGCGCAGAAGTGTCTCGCACACGGGGGAGCGCACCTGAACCGGTAGTAAAAAAATTGGCAACCGACCTCTGATTTCCATTCTAATTACAAAGTTTCTGCATCCCCCTCAATTTGTTTTTTTCCCCTAATACCCAGGCCTGTCATCATTATTTGGAAATCTGAGATGATTGAAAGGATAATTTCTAATTTCTCTACAGTGTAGTTTACAAATTGGGCAGTTTAACCAAGTAAAAGAAGCTTTTATGAATGGTAAAATATACCAAATTAACTGTTTAGATGTCAGTTGTATTGATGTTATTGATTGGATCAATATTAGATACTTATCCAAAATAAATGCAGGTAGCTATAATTGTAAAATAAGTTATTATTTATTTAAATTTATTGACCACCCCAACTCCAGCAGACAATAGAAATTATATCTAAGCTGGTCAAAATTTGTTAGGTATAACTACTTTTGAATCTATGACAAGTTGTGTGCTCCAGCAGAGAACAATGCATAAAGCTTGGATACTGGTAAAATAATAAGGTATTTTGTGTTTACAAAAAAAAAAAGATGTTGTGGCTTTCATAAACAACTCTTACCAGTATCTTACATCTTGCTTCCATATTTACTTGGCTTGTTAAGATGTAAAAATAGTGAGATGCAAAATAAGTACAATCAGCACCTGATTTATAATGACACCTTCTCATTCAGTAATTATATACCACACAATGACTGTGATGAAATAATTTTGTTTCTTATTTAATTCAGGAATTTATGGACTGCCCAAGAGAAATGGGAAACTTAAAGACATCAGCAAATTTGATGCCACATTTTTTGGAGTTCATGCAAAACAAGCTCACACCATGGACCCTCAATTACGTCTGTTATTGGAAGTTTCTTATGAAGCCATTTTGGATGGTGGTAAGCAAAAGAGCCTGGAATTCTTTATTCAAAAATCCTATTCTCTATGGACTGAGTGTACAGATTACAGTTTGGATAAAAAGTTGATTAGATTCAGATTTATTTATGCACAGAATAGACACCGGAAGATTGTTTTTAAAGTAGTCATTAGTAACCACTGGTATCTTTCTCTAGCATGGCCATATTGGTTTAATTATAATATGCATGTAAAAAAAATTAAAAAGGTAGGGCCCAAACTCTTATTTGTGGAAAGATTGATAGAATAAAAGAAACAAACTACAGCTGAGCCACTCTGAAGAGCTTGAGAGAGTTTTGAAATAGTCAAATAAATTATAAATATTACAATCAATAATTCCTTCATAAGTGCCTTTTTTTCTTGTCCATACACCCATGACATGTTTCCATTAGTCACTTGGATATCAGATATGGTTGATGTTCTTTTGAGTTCTTTGCCTTGTAAACCACAGAGAATTAAATATGTCTTCCTCCTTTGTAGGTATTGACCCAACTACCATTCGAGGCACAGATACAGGCGTGTGGATTGGTGTGAGTGGGTCAGAAGCTGCTGAAGCATTTAGCGTAGATCCTGAACTGTTGCTGGGATACAGTATGACTGGCTGTCAACGTGCTATGTTTGCCAACAGAATCTCTTACTTTTTTGATTTCAAAGGCAAGTGTTCATAGTTACAGGTTACAAGCTTAATACCGGTATTAGCAACTACCAATAGCTATCTTGTGAGCTGGTTATTCTTAAATTTAGTTATAGGCATCCAGGCAGTTTTATACAAGTGTTAAGATGATGAAATATATAATTGAGGGCTTTTAGAAATTTTTCTGGGCAGCTTGCTACAACAATGTGAAGTATAGCTGTTGACAAAGAAGTAGCATTTTCTCTTGAGGGTTCGAATCCAGGAAGAATGGGACTCCTTCCTTTTCTCATAAGAGAAGCAAACTGTTGAGGTTAGGTGGATAACTGAAAACGTTTATAAACTTGGTAATCTGTCTTTTCATAACTTGTATTTCCAAAGGACCCAGTATGTCCATTGACACAGCCTGTTCCTCTGGCCTTGTTGCTCTGGACAATGCTTACAAAGCAATCAGCAGTGGACAGTGTGAATCAGCTCTTGTAGGTGGAGTCAACCTTATCCTGAAACCCAATACATCTGTACAGTTCATGAAGCTTGGCATGTTGAGCCCTGAAGGGACCTGCAAATCTTTTGATGCTGAAGGTAATAAGATTGCTTTTCTCATTGTTAAATATTTAGGTCAAATGTTATAAGAATTTGAGTGTGATTAAAATATTTGTTTTCAGAGCTTTCATTTAATCAGAAAAGCCAGAGAAAGTATGGGTTTTCCCCCTTCAAGCAGCAATGAATTACTTTTAATTGCCTTTTTAATTTGAGAACTGCTTGGTAGGTTCAGATCAGGCAAAGAAGCTACCAACAGGAAAAGCAGACAGCTTTGATAAGAAAGTTAGAAAGTTATAAAAATGCAAAATACATATAATTCCATAAAGTTTAGAGTGACAAAAAATTATATGGCAAAAAAGCCACTTAGAGCTTAGTTTGTAGTAAATAAATGAAATAGGTTTAAGTTTTTAAAATATAGGAAGAAATGAAAGAAAACATGTATATCAGCCTAGCTTGCAAGCTAATTCTATATTTTTTCTTTTAAGAGAATTCTTTTTAATGAATACTTGTTAAAAGCCAATACTTTATTATTAACTTTAACTAGTTTTAGAATTATAAAAAAGTTTTAATGTGATACCCTCCAGTTTGTGGTGATAATAAGCATTTTATATAGAGACTACAAGGAGAATTAGTGTAAATGGTAAATTTTAAAATGCATATTTTAGGTATGTTTATTTACAGTTTTTTTTCTATATATAGTATGTGTTTTGATTGGGAAAATATTTTATAATACAGTTTTCTCTGTAATATTTAATATTCCATCAAAATAAATTAGGAAATATTATTAATTTCCTTATAAGATTAATAACCCTAATAATTAAATATTTGAAAAACAAAATTGTGGACTTTATGCCAAATTATTAGTAAAACTATGGAAAATAGAGTCTGTGGCCAGTGTGACAATCAAAAGAATAAGAAGCCAAGCTGTAACATACTATAAGATTCTTGCATAAATTTATTCTGCTAATCATTTTTTTTCTGTAACTTTCTGAATAGTGAGAACTCTAAAAATATGTGGAATTGAGAAATCTCCCATTTAAAATATGATAATGAACATGTTTTAGTATTTTTTACTTTTTGGTTGCTCAGCACTTCTGAAAACAAAGATTAGAAATCCAATTATTCAAACATGAATAAAGTCTGAATCTGTTGCTTTTATGGTTCTGGATTTTTCCAGGGAATGGCTATTGTCGCTCTGAAGCTGTTGTGGCTGTGTTTCTGACCAAGAAATCAAAAGCTAAACGGATTTACGCTACCATAATAAACTCTGGAATTAACACAGATGGATTTAAAGAACAAGGTAAAATATCATTCCCTTTCTTGGAAATTCTAAGGTTTTAATAATTATTCTTCAGGAAACAGGATTAGATTCTCCTTGGATTAGAAATGCCTGTACCATGTTTAAATCAACTGGTATTTCTCATTGGTTCCTATTATAGTGTCATAATATCATTGGTTAGTACACTGACTCATCAACAGCTCTCCAGAGTTCCAGAAAAAGGATTTTTCTTTTAAGAGTGTCGCTCTCTGCAATTAATGTAAGATACTAAAGTTTGCAGCAGAGGTTGCCACTTCATCACAGCAACTGCCTCTTTCCCTCTTTACTTAGAAAAAAAAAGAATGAATTCTTGAACATTTTTAAAAATACTAAAGGCCATATAGGAAAACTCATGGTACCCAGACGTTGTGCAGCCTCAGAGGCAACATTTATGCAAACTCCTGATAGTCCCTCCACAGGAATTTAATGGCAAAGTTGAACAATGAGATTTGTTGATTTTCAGTAAGAAACTAATGGAAATAGGAACAGTAAACTGGAGATAGGCTTAACACACCTATAATATTTAAATCCCATATCCAAAAGAGGTGAAAAATTGGTCCCAAATCCAGATCCCCAAATCCAAGTTATAAGAACTTGAGAAGAGCAAGTCCTAGCCACAGAAAAGATTGCCCATTTACTTCAGAGGTGGGTTCCTACCAGTTTGCACCTATTCGGTAGAACCAGTTCGTCAAATCTACCGAACAGGTTAGAAGAGGTTCCACCAGTGGACCCGGAAAGCAGGCCACACCTACAGAAGAGGTTCCAAAAATTTTTGAAACCCACCACTGATTTACTTGTACTGTTGACCTTGGTTTTTTTTCCCTTAACAATGCTGCTATATTTGGAGGTGGGAGGGTTGGGAGGAATAAGAACAAAATTTGGAGAGTTAGGAATGGAACTTTGGTCTAGATGTTTTCAAAAAATATTACATGAACAAGATAGAGCAATTCCACATTAATAAAAGCCTCAAGTTGAAATGCCCTTAACCATAAATTATAAGAAATCCTTTCTTGTGAAGCATGAAAACACATCCCAATGAATAACTCAGCATTCACTGAGTCACTGAGAACATATTGATGGTTCCGTGCTACTTGAGAAATTGCTGAATTTTAAAAAGTTCTACAAGTTGCCTTTTTCTGTTTGCAAAATTGAATATTTTACATGAATTCACCATAATCATATCTTATAGTTAAGTTTTTTGAATATTCAAAGCACCACACATGAAAAATTCTAATGATCCTTATATTACTAGATATAATACATATTAATTTTATTCCTAGGTTGAATTAGGGATTTCTTAGTGGTTTACATTTATACTCATGCTTCTTTTTGAAATATTAATTTTAAATTTTTGCAGCCAAATGTAGCAGTGTTTATGTTACACCCTAGTAGTACAATTATACACACCTAATTATGAAGACCTATAAATTAAATGGACTCGTCCAAGTAATTTGGTATAGGACTGAATCTTAAATGAGGATGTTTTGGTACTTCATACAAGATTGAGAAATAATGGTTCTTCTTACTTTAGGTGTAACATTTCCTTCTGGGTGGATGCAGCAACAATTGGTCAGTTCTCTGTACAGAGAGTCTGGAATTAAACCTGAAGAAGTAGAATATATAGAAGCCCATGGCACAGGCACAAAGGTACATTTTATTTCTATTCTGATTATTTTCTTTTGATAGTCATTGTAATTCTTCTAGAATTCTTTTTGTACTTCTGTAACTGAACTAGAAAAAATAGATTTTCCATTTAACATTTTCACTGGAGAGCGCCTCAGTAAACCATGATTCCAGCCTGTTATTTCATCCCAATATTTCAGTAATGTTCATATTGATTTAAAATTTCAAAAGCTCCCTAATGAATATGATCAGGGTCATACTAGAAGATTTGATCTGCATATAAATAATTATTCCCATCTTAGATATGCATGCTGGCTCCCCGCTAGGCTCAATCATAGTAGTCTCTACTTTCAACCATATTACTTGTGTACAACTTTATGAAGAAAACTGACAGGATGAAGCGGTCATTGTTACCTTTGAAATCTTCCATTTTTTTTTTTATTCTTAGGTTGGGGATCCGCAGGAAGTGAATGGCATTATAAATGTCTTTTGCCAATCAGAGCGGCCACCATTGTTGATTGGATCCACAAAATCTAACATGGGCCATCCAGAACCAGCTTCTGGTCTTGCAGCTTTAGCAAAGGTAAAGATTTTATGTATGTCTCAGTGCATATGTTGCTCCCACTTGTGTTGTGAATGAGAATGAGAGCAGAGTGATCATTTGTAAGTGATCCAATGCAGAAGTAAAGGTTGGGCTCATTGATCTTACAGGGGAAACAGGAGGAAAGTGCAAGGTTGCCAACAGGAGAGAAAATGGGAAGAAGGAAGGAGAACTACAGAATAGATATATACTGTATGATGATGAACATAATCTTTCCTTAATTTTGAGACTTCTACAATATTTAAAAAAGACTCCGGCAATTCTATCTTCAAATATTTGAAGGCAGAATGTTTGACTTTACAGGGTCTTAAAGTCTTCATATATAACTTAAGGGAATAAGTTTTTTTTTTAGGTTTCATAGTCAATGCCAAAATTATATCTTTATATTACACTTATTACAAAACCAGTATTCAGTCTTGCTACGTTTTCTCTGTTTCAGGTTGTTCTGTCATTTGAGTATGGTGTATGGGCACCAAATCTCCACTACAACACCCCAAATCCAGATATCCCTGCGTTAGATGATGGCCGCCTACAAGTAGTGACCAAGCCAACCCCCATAAAAGGCCAAATTGCTGGAATCAATTCTTTTGGCTTTGGAGGTTCAAATGCTCATGTCATTCTGAGAGCTAACAGAAACAAATCACCCCCACCAGAAGCTCCCAATTTGCCACGATTATTACAGTTTTGTGGAAGGACTCAAGAAGCAGTAGAAACACTAATAGAACAGAGCTGCAAGACACAGGAACACGCTGCATATCTGAGCATGCTTAACGATATCTCTGGAGTATCAGTGTCATCCATGCCCTACAGAGGCTATACCTTGATTGGAAGTGAGAATGATATAAAGGAGGTTCAAATGGCCCAGGCCTCAGGGAGACCTCTGTGGTACATTTGTTCAGGTAATTGCTCTCTTCCCCCCCCCCCCCCAGCTCCATTCAGTCGCAAACAGCCTTGAAACTGTTTGGCCCACCTTCATATACGTATGCGCTACTAACTGGAAAGTTTCAGTCTTTTGGGACAGAATTTTTAAATGCTGTTCCAAATGTCACATCAAAAATTGATTCATCCATTCACTAATAATAGCAAGGGTTCTCTCCTTCTTTAATTTTCAGGAATGGGGACACAGTGGAAAGGGATGGGTCTCAGCCTAATGAAGCTTGATCTCTTCCGACAATCCATCTTGCGTTCAGACGAGGCTCTAAAGGACACAGGCTTGAAAGTCTCGGACCTTCTTTTGAGTTCAGATGAAAATACCTTTAATGAAACAGTAAATGCATTTGTTGGGCTTGCAGCTATTCAGGTAAGAAGGATGGATCTACTTTGGCAAGCTGCTTTGGTGCACACAAGCTTTGCTAGAGTGAAGATTTTTTTTAGTCATAGTCTAGAATTAGGCTGGAGAAATGCTTGAAAGGATGACATGATACTTCTGCAATGTTTTGGATTTCAATTCCCACCAGTTCAAAATTGATTATTATAAACAAGCATCATGGGAATTGTAATTCAAAACATCTGAATATCCCCAAGTTAACATCATTTCAACCATAGAGATTCATTTTCAAACCTTATTTATCATAGAGTTTATTGGGTGACTCATTATGACTCAGGTACTTAACTGTCAACTTTATCTAAGATGAGAACAAGAAGAACATAATTTCTGTCTTGAGCATCATGAAGGAAAATAGATAACAATATATTAATAATAAACACATAATGACACATTAAGGCTTAATTGCAAGTATAATTGAAAATAGACCTTTGCCTTAACATATGCAAGAGATATGGAACTCAATGTTACAATGACATTGTGTTCATTTCTGTAGCTGGTTTGGCTGCTGACTGTAGGAAAATGCTGGTGTGAATACAGCAGGCGTGCCTTGGCCTAGTACCATATAATGACATTTCTGAAGCCATCTTGGAATTGGGAAAAATAAACCATAGCTTTTTGGTTGGAAAAAAGAAATTCCCAAAAAGAAATATGGGTCACTAAGTGACAAAATATTTGAAAGAGAGATGAGGGTACAATTAGGTACACTTAAGAACTATGTATTGTGCAATAATATATGATAATGTTCACCTGAATAGGCTTGCCTATACTGCCTCGCATATCTAAATCCAGCAATGATATTCTTTTCACAGATTGCACAAATTGATGTTTTCAGGGCTGCAGGTTTGCAGCCTGATGGGATTATTGGTCACTCCGTTGGAGAACTGGCCTGTGGCTATGCAGATAACTCCCTAACACATGAAGAAGTAATTCTCTCAGCTTACTGGAGAGGAAAATGCGTCAAAGATGCGAAATTGCCACCAGGAGGCATGGCTGCTGTTGGTAGGTAAAAGTCCCTCATGAATATTGAGAAAAAACATCTGAGTTATAACTTGAGGAGGGAGTCCACAAAGCACACTAATTCTTAAATCTGAATTAACACCATCACATCCATATAATGCACTGTCTCTAAACCAACTATTTTATGGCTTAGGGATGACAGTTTGGTTCACTCAATGGATTATAGCTACTGAAAATTTATTTCCTTATATCTTTAATGCAAAGAATGGGCAACTACTAGTAATGGTTTGCTTTCTTTATTCCACTGTGATCAAATGGCCGAATATTACAGTGTATTCTGATACCATATAAAACTGGTATTTTTCTATTTCTGCCTCATTTGAGAGTCCATTTTTTCATCCTGCTGCCCCTCTAGACATGTTGGATTGTAATCTTGATTACTATGCACCATAATTGTGATGGGAGTTTGTGGAAAGTTACATCATACTGAAGAAGCTTTTATAGAAACTATTGAAAATATGGATAGACGTAAGAGAAAATCCAATGAAGCTTTTTCCTTATGTTGTACTGATCTTTAAAACTGCTTCTTAGTCACCAATAGATCTGGACTTTTCAAAAGTCAACATTTGCCAGAAATTTAGGCAAGCTGTGCTTATTGCTCTTCAGTCACCAAAAGAAAGGACTTACTTCACCAGGCTATTATATTGATATTTGACTGTTTGCTGGCAACAGCTGTTGCTATAAATACTGCTATTCTCCTAGTAGGTGGAGACATCATCCAGGCATGGGTTTGACTCTGTCAGTATCCAATTGGACTGGGCCTACAAGTTGTAAAGTCATGGCCATGAGGCTCCTTCTCCCAGTTTAGACTCAGTCGATCCTTGGATTAGCTGTGTCTGTGTCTGTGTATCTCTCCTAGCTAAATAATTTAAATTTAAACTAAACTCCTAAAATTCTCCAAATTTTACCTAATTGGCTCTTTTTCCAAATTTAATTTAATTGGCTATTATATTGGCATTTGACTGTTTTCTGGCAACAGCTGTTGCTACAAATACTGCTATTCCCAATTTAACTTAAAAGGATATACAAAAGAGATTTTATGCATTAGCCTATAATTTCACTGGGGTGTAGCATGGAGAATTGGCTCTCCATTTATATAGAAACGAGGTCAGGCAAGGGTTAAACCTCAGGCTCAGAAACAAAGTTTGTGGCCTTAATAAGATCTAGTTCATTGTGTATTAAGCAATAAAACTGGTCAGATTTATGTAACTACTTTTCATTACAAAACCCATTAGAGATATTGGGTCTGTGAGATTCTTACAGGGTCTGACACTGTACCCTGTGCTTGAGTTAAGTAATTGGACTTGAAAATTATATTTAATACAAAAAAAATATTCTCGAAATAGTCATTGTTTCCCAAAATGCCCACACACACATCTTTTTTTGGTTGAGCTCATGTCTCTAGTCAACCAAGTTTGGCAACTTTATGAAACATTGGATACATCTGCAAAACTTGTTTTCCAGAAGCAACTTGTCAGTGAGGTGTTTGTGCTTTATGGAGTACAGTCCTTCTTTCAACCTTTCTTTGAATAATCAAAACAGGATTCTTTATCCTGTCACCCACATGCTATTTGAATTAATTGCTGTTAGCAAGGGGGGGTGTTTCCTCCTGGCATGGCTATTTCTAGTATTGTTTTCTCTTTTTCATAAACCCTGTAAGTTGTTCAGAATGGTGTATTAGTTTACAGCCATAGAAGTCAATAAATGAGTGAGCATTCCTACTTGAATGGCATATGTCTGGTTATATATTTTAGAATTTTGCACTTCAGTTTTTTAAAAATATATTGTGTCAGCCACTGGAATGAATCAAGGTTGTTGCTTTTGCTGGTTAATTGAACCAACAGTTGGCAGCTTCAATTAATTTTCTTAGGTTTAGTGGAATCTGAGCTTGCCAGTAAATATCTATTCCTAAGGACATTCTACATTTATGTATGTATGGCTTTATTTTAGTTATTTGTATCAGACATTTCAACAATGCAAACTTTGTTGAATTCACATACAATTTTTTTAAAAGTTCAATTAATACAATACAGCATATGATTTAACACATAGGAGATAAGACAATAGGAGATAATAGAATAGGTTGACAAGGTTCCATCACGCAAGATGGATGACAAGAATAGAGCATATGAATGACAGGGTGTGTTTTAAATTGCACTGTTTAGAACGGTATGATCAGATACCATTCTAATTGGGAGCTTTGAGAATGGTAGTCTAACATATTTGATATCAAGGGAAAACTTCGTGGCCTATGTTTATTCAAAATTTGAAGCTCCTGTTCTAGTCCCTAAGGTGTAAGAACACTTATGCTAACAGCTTGCTTTTCAGGTATCTAATCCATGGCTGTCCATATCACCAACTTTATGTAATTACAGCTGTGATTCAATGCATACCAAAATAATAGTCTTTTTGAATAAATATGCACAGGAGAGCATGGTACATATAACGTATTTTTGTCCAGTTTGGTGGTAGAGAAGGCATCAACTTTTAGTGATATCTTCTGGAAAAACCAAATGAAGGAAAGTGCTTCATAATCCTTCTCACAGAGTTTTCTTCTACAAAGACGCAGAAATAATTTTAGGGAAGAAATGTTTTTTAGCTCTAGGATTGCTATGTTGCTGTTCCTATGAAAAAAAGTATTCCTGCGTATTCTTCACTCGATTGGATTTATCTGAAATAACCTGCCCTTTTCAGGTCTGACATGGGAGGAATGCAGGGAAAAGTGTCCTCCAGGTGTGGTACCTGCCTGTCATAATGCTGAAGACACTGTCACCATCTCAGGCCCTCAGGTAAAATAGCACTGTAAACAATTACTTCAAATGTTGGCATTTAGAGTATTAGTTCCATGTCCTCAATACCGTCTCGCTGGGTCAACCAGATGTGAAAGCTCAATGCTGCTCAGCTAATTAAACTTACTTGTATTTGTGAAAACTCTTAGCTTCAAGAGGTGCCAGGAGCTGTGTGAATGCTAACCAAGTGTCACATTCAGGATGAGGATTATGGACTGCCTTCTGGATAGAACAGCAAGATAGAGGAGAGTAAATAATATAGAATAGCACATAAGGAAAGGTGATAGTATTTCAAAAGGTTTGGACAGTTCAAGAAAATGTGTAACAAGCAACAGTATAAAAGCCTGGAATACTTAATATTTTGTTTAATATTAAATGTAGACTGATTACATTGGAGCAACATGTAGGAAGTAATGGAGACCCTTCAGGCAGCAGGCCAAAGTGCATAATGCGATTAACTATAAACTGTTGGAGTAACTCCAAAGGGTTATTATGTGTTTCTAATTTTTTAGGAGGCCGTAGCCAAATTTGTGAGTAAGTTGAAATCAGAAGGCGTGTTTGCGAAGGAAGTGCTTAGTGCTGGAGTTGCTTTCCACTCCTACTATATGGCTTCAATTGCACCAGTGTTGCTGAGTGCCCTACAAAAGGTAATGCTCTGGAAGGATCCAGTGCTGGGGAGGGAAAAAGCGTTCAGATCAAAAGAAATGACCTCCAATGCACATGTCCTTTTATTTCCTCCTTTTAGGTTATCCTAAATCCAAAGCCTCGCTCAGCCCGGTGGATCAGTACCTCTATCCCTGAAAGCCAATGGCAAAGTGAGCTGGCTCAGAATTCCTCTGCTGAATATCACGTGAATAATCTTGTCAACCCAGTCTTGTTCCAGGAAGGACTGAAGCATGTTCCAGATAATGCAGTGGTAGTGGAAATTGCTCCACATGCTCTTCTACAGGTATTACTCTTGGGGACGACAATGAGTAAAAGTTAGTAAGAATACTGTGGGGCCAGTCTTCCCAAAATTGGTGTCTTCAGATGTGTTGTAGTTAAAAATTCCCAGAATTTCCCTCAGTCAAGGATCTCTTAAAGCGCCAACTTGTGGAAATCCGCTGGTTCCTCCTTATCAGTTCATACTTTCCTCTGTGTTTCTAAATATAATGTAGCTTTTCTGCACCTATTTTAATGTGCTGCTCAGCAGTTATAATATTTTCTGAAACCAAAAAGAGAGAAGCCATTTCATTAGTATCATTTGGGAGTAGAAAATGAAACAGAAAATTAAATCATAGCCATCTTTCCACAAGCCTATTGAATATCTCCAAATACCATATGTTTTCTAATATTTAGTGTTATAAGGTTGTGATGTGGTGTTAGTAGCTCATAGTCACTTTGAAATGATGGTCGTGCTGGCTTTGTACTGCTCAGTGGTTTCTAGAAATAAAGTCTCTAATCTTTAGGTTTCCGAACTAGTCTCAGAAATTGAGTTTAGAGCAATTCATTTTTATAAGGAATAGAATTACAACATCTAAAATCTTTATTACAACTTAGACCAGTACAACTAGGATAATAAATGCAATGGCAACAAGGATCCCATTTGCACAGGTTAGAGTTAAAATGTGCGAAAAGTGCAAAGCATGTATATTCAATCATGGGCTAAACTAGAATGGAGTTACAAGAGTACATTGACTTCCTATTTAAACTGCCCAGGGAATTCTAAGAATTTACAATTTGGAATATACTATGAAGTTTCAGGACACTCCCTGAATTATTTATTACTGTGATTATTTATGTGTTCAATTTTTATGGCTTCCCATTCACCAGGGAACTATGACTCGAACAATACAACCAGAGGTGGTATTCAGCTGGTTTGGATCAGTTTGGATGAACCGATAGCGGAAATTTTAACGGGTTCACCAAACAGGCAAATACCATCTCTAGCTGGCCTGCCTGTTTGTCCCGCCCATCCCCACTCTATATATGTTTCCTTTGCCATGCGGCCCAGCTAATCGCCTCACCTCCGTGCCTCGCCCACTTAGCTCATCAAAGGTTAAACATGCCATCCGCTCACCCTTCCCCTTGGGTTGACTTGGGCCATTCCCTGACGCCCCGGAGCCTCTGCCTGCTCGCCATTCACCTCAGCTGAGTTGAGGAATGCGCCATTCCCCGGCTCTGGCCTTCCCTGAGGCTCTGCCCACATGCTGCCCGCTCGCCCTCTGCCTAGCTCATCTTCAGCCGCGCCGCACCCACTCAGTCACATGACCAGCCCCTCCACCAAGCCATGCCCATAGAACCAGTAGTAAAAAAAATTGAATCCCAGCACTGAATACAACTCTATTTATGCTTCTTCAAAAGGAAGTACATTGGCGTGTACAGGCAGTCCTCCACTTACAACCATTTGTTTAGTGACCATTCAAAATTACAATGGTACTGAAAAAAGTGATAATTTCCACACTTAATGACCGTTGCATTATCGCCATGGTCACATGATCAGAATTCGGACTCTTGAAAACTGACATGTATTTATTATGTTTGCAGTGAACTGGGGTCGTGATCACCATTTGTAACCTTCCCAGCTGGCTTCTAAAGGCAATGGGGATTCGCTTAATGACCACATCACTCACTTAAGAACTGCAGTGATTTGCTTGACAACTGTGGCAAAAATGTAAAATGCAGCAAAACTCATTTAACAACTTCCTTGCTTAGCGATGGAAATTTTGGGCCAAGGTGTAGTTGTAAGTCAAGGACTACCTGAAGTGGGATTTATTTCTAGATATTCATATATAGGTTTACATCACTTAGAGAGACAATTGCTTTTTTGTTTTGAACGAACAGGAGGAATAGCTTCAGAGCTTTATAATTCTGTTTACCTACATGGTTTTGGTTTCTTGCTTGTTTGGTTTGGGGTTTTGTTTTGTTTTTTGAGTGAAGGTTATCAAATTTTGCCTTTGCTGCAAAATTTATCTTGTGTTTATAAATGTCTTATAGTTTATCCTGATTACTGGGAACAATTACCAAGTAATATCAGGTGTCTCTGTGTTGGTGTGATGCAAAGCCAATGTCTATAAGGATGTTTGGTTGTCATTCATTATAAAAAGAGGTCATTATAAATGATCAATTTTAATTTTAGAAATAATATGCTGTAGCAAAATCTGTCTCTTAGGAAGGTATCACTTCCATAATAAAACAAACCCATTATAGACCCTTGATGGCACAGTGGTTAGAGTGCAATACTGCAGGCTACTTCTGCTGACTGCTGGCTGCCTGCAATTTGGCAGTTTGAATCTCACCAGGCTCAAAGTTGACTCAGTCTTCCATCCTTCCAAGGTTGGTAAAATGAGCACCCAGATTGTTGGGAACAATATGCTGACTCTGTAAACCACTGTAGAGCATTGTGAAGTGGTATATATGTATAAGTACTATTGCTATTAAGAATTCATTGTTAAAAACTGTTGGGGGAGCGAGAGGTAGAAGAGAAAAATCTATCTTTGTGAATCTATGTAACCCTAGTTATTTATGGCAGAATCATCTTCATGGGTTTGCAGAATTGGATGTAGTATTGTTTGCAGTAGACTTTTTTCAACTGCAGTGCCTTAATTCTGAATCCCCTGTTTTCATCTGTAAACTTTGCCTTTTCACTTATAAGTAAAATCTGCTAATATTATTCGTGTAAAAGTTATCCCATAGTTTTTCTAGGCTGCCTTAATATATTTTACTATGATGACTTCATTTATTGTGTTTTGAGGCTATGAAGCTTGGAATTCGATTTCCAAAAAGTGTTTCAAGGGACATAAAAACATGGTTCTTGGAACTTGGTTCTTGTCTGCAGCACCACAAAACAGTTGCATGTTTTCCTGGGAACATCTAACCACTCTGAAATATTTTGTGCCACAGCCCTGCATCCCCCTATTTCAGAGTACAGGTAGTTCTCGACGTATGACCATAATTGAGCCCAAAATTTCTGTGGCTAAGTGAAACATTTGTTAAGTGAGTTTTGCCCCATTTTACAACCTTTCTTGCCACAATTGTTAAGAGAACCACTGCAGTTGTTAATTTAGTAATATGGTTATTTATTTTATTTATTTTAGGAAATTTATATTGCTACCTAGTCGCACATGGCGACTCAAGGCAGCTTACAGCAATATGAAAACCCTCATATATAAAACAATAAAACTAATAAAAGAATCACATAATAAATTAATAAAATAATATAATAACCCCCCATCACGGCGACAGCACACCACACAAGCCATTTAATGGACTCCATCCCGCTTTGGGTTCCCCAGGCCCGCTGGCAGAACCAGGTCTTCGGCGCCTTTCAAAAGAGTGTTAGAGTGGGGGCCATTCTAATCTCTGGAGGAATGACGTTCCAGAGAAAGGGACCCACCATAGAGAAGGCTCTTCTTCTGGGTCCCAACAGGTGTATTTCCCTAGGGGATTGGATTCGCAACATTCCTTGCCTCCTCGCTCTGGTGAGTTGGATAGTTGTGATCGGCAAGAGACAGTCCCTCAGATAACTTGGCCCCGAGCCATGAAGGGTTTTAAAGGTGACAACCAGCACCTTGAATTGCACCCGGAAGCAAATTGGCAATCAATGCAGCTCCTGCGGCAGAGATTGTTAAGTGAATCTGGTTTCCTTATTGTCTTTGCTGATCAGAAAGTTGTGGAAGGGAGTCACATGACCCTGGGGCACTGCAACCATCATAAATATAAATGCTTTGCCAAGCATCTGAATTTTGATCATGTGACCACAGAGATGCTGCAATGTTGTAAGTGTGGAAAACGGTCATGAGTCCCCAAATTTAACACTTCTGTACAGTCACTAAATGAACTATTGTAAGTTGAGGACTACCCATAGAAGGAAGAAGAGTGCTTCTGACTTTGTGAGAAGGACCTGATCAACAGGGAATAATGGCAGGAGCAGTTCCTGAACAAATCTTGGTATAATCTTGTTGCTTCTTGGAAATCACAGGGAGGTGGCAAACTGTACCTCATGTGGTATAGCAGCAAGTTGGTTTCTTCATTGAGCATTGACACAGATTTGTAGTTGTATAACATTTTAGAGTTACAGGTTACTATAAGCACCTACTCCCAGCATTGTGTCAAAAGTTACTTGTGTTGCTTTAGAAGAGCTGTGCTTTAATCCATTATCTCTTCCAGTGCTACCCCTGCCATTTTTTCAGGGGCCATTATTAGAATCAAGGAGCAAGAAAAATCATTGTTTGTTTCCTCAACTTCAGATCCATCTATCAAGAATTGACTGATAAGTAAGGAAACCTCTAGAACGTAAACTTTGAAAAGCCTTCTTGATTAAAGTTCTCAGATATAACTAGTCCGATCTCTTAATTGGACTAGTTATATTTGAGATCTTCAATCAAGAAGATCTTTCAAGGCAGCACCTTATTATTTCCTCATATGAAACAGATTCAGCTCAAATCTGCAGACGCCAAAAACATTTGGCCAGAATATTGCTTTCCAAACACTTAAAGCTGCTTCTTATAGGGAAAGCTAATAAAGAAGTTTGAAGGGACATGGTGGCTCAGTAGTTAAGACGCTGAGCTTGTCGATCTGAAAGATCAGCAGTTTGGTGGTTTGAATCCCTAGCACACATAACAGAGTGAGCTCCTGTTACTTGTCCCAGCTTCTGCCACCCTAGCAGTTTGAAAGCACGTAAAAATGCAAGTAGAAAAATAGGGACCACTTTGGTAGGAACGTAACAGAGCTCCATGTGCCTTTGGTTTTTAGTCATGCCAGCCACATGACTATGGAGATATCTTTGGACAGCGCTGGCTCTTCTGCTTTGAAACAGAGATGAGCACTGCCGCCCAGAATCAGAAATGACTAGCACATATGTGCGAGGGGAACCTTTACTTTTAATAATAAAGAGGTTTACTGAGGAAATGAATATAAAAAACATGAAAGTGTCTGCATTGGCTAGTTTAAGATAAAAATAGATGAAGGATTTTGTAGGCTCATGCTGCTGATAATATTCAGCTCTAAAAAAATTGTTTTGCTTTCTGCAATAAAATAAAAAAAACTTATGTTAATCAAAAGGACAGAAAATTAGTGCTAAGAGCACTTGTTTAATGTCAGGGAACTATATTAAAAGCACTGAATAGGCCCTGGGCAAATCAGAGTCATTTCTGTAAGCATCAGAGTCTCCTCAAAGATGTGGCATATGAAGGAAAGTCCCAGTGTAGATCATCCCCTTCATACTTTGGTTGGTGGCTCAAAAGAATAAAGAAACAGCTTCTGTATTTTTAGTTGTTTGAGAAAATGCAGTGAACTGTTCATATATGCTGTAAGTAAAAACTCCCATTTCCTATATGCACTGCTGGAATAAATAATGATGAGAAGACTGTCAACTTATTTGTTCTGCCCATCTTGGCTTCTTTCATATGCATTGGAACACCTGCATACAGGTTAATTACAATCAGGAAGGTTGAGAGTGAAAAAGAAAGAGAAGAGGCCAGACCTAGAAAAGGCTGTGAGGCAAAGTACATTTACACCTTTGTAGGATTGAACATTTGACTCTTCAGGCCGTATAGATTTTCTTTCTCAAGAGAAAAAAAGGTAAAAAGGACAAGTCATTTAAACATCCAAAGACATAGAGAAAAGTCCAAAAAATAACTTGCTTCATGCAATTAGACTGACGGAGAACCAGAAGGCAAGATGCAGGTCTCATCAGGAAGGAAGGACATCTTGGGAATGAAATAGCTTAGATATTCGTGAAATATCAATCTAGGGCAGTGGTAGTCAACCTGGTCCCTACCGCCCACTAGTGGGCGTTCCAGCTTTCATGGTGGGCAGTAGAGGTTTGCTGTGACTCTGCTTTATAAATTTTATAAAGTAAAGTTACTTCGCTACTTTATAAATCACTATTACTGTGGAACCGGTGGGCGGTTAGAAAATTTTACTACTAATAGAGATACAAAAGCGGGCAGTAGGTATAAAAAGGTTGACTACCTCTGATCTAGCGAGAAGAATAATGCACAAGGTAAAACGCAACACTGGTGTAGATTGTGCAGTTTGAAAATACAGTTGTGCAACAGATATTAAGCTTGGTTGTGGATTTGGATCTACTTGGCATTAAACTTCTTTTCCGGTTTTTCCAGTCCAGTGTGCAAATTACACTCTAGATGTATTGTGTAAAACATAGCCTGGAAAATGATGTAGCTGTTCTAAAGGTGTTAGTGGAAGTTTGGTTTCTGATGCTTGTTCTGAGTTTTTTTCGTTACTGCTGCTGACCTAAAGGTGCTTTTTCAAGAGGCCACTGGACTTTCTGGAACATCCAATGGCCTCTTGAAAAAGCCCTTTTGGAACAACATTGACCTGGGTGACTGAGAATCATCACAGACATTTACTGCTGCTGAATTTATGTATTTGCTATCTTTCCTGTCAAATTCAGTGAATAAAAATTGGAAGTGGTCTTAGCCAATTTCACTTTTCCTATGAAAATCTTCTAAGCTATTCTGATTCGATGTGCTCTTTAGATCAAAATCAAGATCATTTCAAATCCAAGGTGTTCTTTTTTATATAATTAATTTGTGCTTGAAGAACCATCACCTTTTCTTAAGGTGGCCTTTTTTGAATGTATTATTTTGCCACTCTGGGACTCCCAGGCAAGACTTTTATTGTGCAGTGCTCTTTCCTTACTTAAGGAATTTCATCAGGCTTCTTGGTGTCTTTCTTTTATCATCCTTACCAGTGGTGGGATTCAATTTTTTTTTACTACCAGTTTTGTAGGCATGGCTTTGTGGGCATGGCAGGGGAAGGATAATGCAAAATCCCCATGCTCTCCCCAGCTCACTAACCTGCTTTCCAGCTCCATTCGTTCTTCTGTTTAGGGCAACAAAAGAAGATTGACTGGAAGGAAGCAGGGGTGGGGCTCGCCTATTTGCCGGTTTTCTGAACTACTCAAAATTTCTGCTACCAGTTCTCCAGAACCTGTGAGAACTGGCTGAATGCCACCTCTGATCCTTACATATGTTCATTGCTTCTCCTGTCTCAGTTAGCAGCCCAGTACCTTTTGAGTGGCAATGCTAAGATCTTGGCAATTTGCCTTGACAAATACTTCTGGTTTCTGTGATGAACTGAAGGAAGAAGGTTCTTTTTGCATGGTATTTAAAGCAGAGAGGGCAGAAACTGTATCTGGATCTTGTGCTATCTGGTTGATTTGAAATAACATAATACTGAGTTCTGGATTCTCCCCTGTTGTTTTTTTAAACATTGACATAAAATGATGACATCTTACTCACCAAAAATTAAGTCCTATTTTATTTAAAAGGCATTCTCCCAAGTCATACCTACTGCTGCTGAACCGAGAAATTTGGGGGGAAGAGCAATAATGGGGAGGACAATAGGCTCAGGACCCAAACTAATCATGTGTTTAAAGACATAGAAACTCTCAAAGCATGTTTTATACTTTCTATGTCTTACCTTATAGCTCTTCTGGTTTGGGGAAGTTGTAGTTCCAGTAAAAATGAATTAGAACTTGCAAATCTTACATCACTTTCTTCTAAGTTAATCTTCTTGTTAATCCTTCTGAGAAGTCCTGACTGAGGAAGCTCATCAAAAGGCATTATTATTTTTTATCATGCAATTGGTAAACATTGGCAGAACATAATTGGGTACAAAGAGTTTTTCTGTCAGGTCAACAATAGCACTGGCAACCTCTCCCCCCCCCCCTCATCCCCAGACTGTACTTATGCCTTATGACACAGGTAGCTTTTCCCAGCACTTATACAATGATGAGGAAAGAGTCATCTGTTTACTAAGTAAAAGGAATGATTGTCTTAAAATTATTGTTGCTGATCTCTTCAACTATTTCTTCTTCATGCCGTACCTTTGTTCCCCTGTCTCATGAAAACTTGCCTATCAGAATAAGTTGGCAGCCATAATTAATGAAATATTTTGGAACTGGAAAATGTGTAACTTTTTCTGATCATTTTTGTAATCTCTAACTAACTAGGCAATTCTGAAAAGATCGTTGAAACCAACCTGCACCATTTTACCTTTGATGAGGAGGGAACACAAAAACAATCTGGAATTTTTCCTGACAAATGTTGGAAAAATCCACTTGACAGGGTAAGGGAATAAATGAAAGGTTTGCGGGAAGTATAATGGCCCAAATTTTATAATTGGATTGTATCGAATAGTACTATTATTTGTTTTGCCCCAGCTACTTTATGTGACTATCCAAGAAATAATTAAAGGTTTGAGAAAGAAGCCTGCATTTCTAATTACCGCTATGATAATGGAAAAATGGATTGTGGCATAAAAGCATTCTGTATTATTTACATATAAATGCTACCATTAAAAAATCAAAAGTTTTGTTTTTGTTGCTGCAAGAGTATCAATAGAAGGAGTCATGTAAGAAAAGTATGTTTTATAAGAGGTCAAACAAGAGTCCCAAATGGTGGTGTTGGGTCATCCTTCCCAGGCTGGTGCTTAGCTAAAATTCACTTTCCAGGAGCTACTATTCTTGCCTCTGAGTGATGAGTACCATCTTCACAATGCTTTTTCCTCCTAGAATAAATGTCCTGGCAAACAATCTGTTTCCACGCATCCAATATCCTGTTCCAACCGGAACGCCACTTATTTCTCCTTACATTGCTTGGGACCACAGCCAGATCTGGGATGTCCCAAAACCTGAAGATTTTCCGACAGGGTCCGGAGGTTCTGGGGCAGCAACAGTTTACAATATTGGTATGTACTAGAAGTCAAATGGCTTCTTCGTTTGACCCCCACTCCAAAAAGAAAAATAAATTTGAGTGGGATTTTAACAATCTCAAGGGAAAACATGTCCTAGTATTTGTATCACTTTAATAGAAGAAGTATATGGGAAGCAATAAGAATCAGAGAGCTGCTTTCTTTGAGAAATCTCTGACACTGAAGCTAGGATAAGAGAAAGTGTGCAGAGATTGATTCTTGGTTATGGGTAAAAGATACCAAAGTCAGGTTCATAAGAAAGTTCTAAAACGCTATATTGTTTGTCTATTGTTGTTAACAGATGTGAATCCTGAATCCCCTGAACATTACTTAGTGGGCCATTGCATTGATGGCAGAGTTCTCTATCCAGCAACTGGTTACTTGGTACTAGCCTGGCGCACTCTAGCACGCTCCCTGGGAACTACGCTAGAAGAACTGCCTGTCATGTTTGAAGATGTTACAATCCACCAGGCAACAATACTTCCCAAAAAAGGTGAGAGTAATAAAAATTGCTCCATCTAAGTATTGTCTGATTGAGCTGATTCCTTAAAATATTCATTGATAGTGTCTGGGAGATATTATTTTTTTTAATCTGTTCATTTTTACATGAACTGGAATAACATGACAGAGGGAAGATAAATTTTAAATGACATCAATGCGGCACATATTCCTTTATCTGGTAACAGAGAAAGATACATATCATAAATAAAAACACTGAACCATTTCTGCTTTCTTTATTTTATTCATGTATGATACTTGAATGTAGAGTCAACTCATTAATTTCTGCCTTCCTTTTAGGCTTAACACAGTTGGAGGTGAGACTCATGCCTGCTTCCCAGTGTTTTGAAGTATCTGGAAATGGAAATCTGGCTGTGAGTGGTAAGTAAATAATATTTGTGTATGTTTGTGTGTTTTTTAAAAAGGAAATACTGACTGTGCCTGCTTATTGACTCTCTTTTTCCCCTCTATCTACTGGATATACTAGGAAAAATCTGCAGTTTGGAAGAAACTGCTCTGAATAACTTTCGAAACCAGCTTATTGATTTGAAAAACCAGCCAAATCCCTGCTCAGGAATTAGCTTATCAAAGGGTGACATTTACAAAGAGCTTCGCCTACGTGGTTATGATTACGGGCCAACGTTTCAAGGAGTCATGGAATCCAGCAGTAATGGTAACAACATATCTTAATAGAAATCAGCATTTCTATGGTTATTATGGGTGGTCCTACAAGCAGCCAGATGTTTAGATTGGACTTGGCATTTTTGTTCACCTACTGAATCCTTCCCAAGGATAGGCAGATTTTGTTGTGTTAAAGGCATTGTTACGAGATGTAAGTAAAGCTGCCTTTTGCAATTAACTTTATCATAATTCATTTTCAAGATACTATCAATGTGGCTATTTCTCCAACTGAATATAAAAATATTTTATTGGCTTCAAATTTAAAATTAATTTACAATATTAATAGCTTTTATTGTTCTATTATTTTGTAATTGCTTGAAATTTTTTTGAAAGGAAATAAAGACTATATAATTGTAATTATTCTAATAAATAGAAAACTCTTCTAATCTGGTGCTTTCAATGTGTTTGCTGACAGCTCCCATAATTATTGCGTAACATGTTGTCTGGCAATTATATGGAATGTAATCCAAAATATCAGCATTGCACTAGATTAGGAAATCTGGCTGTGAGATGAAATGAAATTATAATCTAAGTACAGAAATGCAAATATTTGCTTGGAAAACTTTAGGAAAATAAAGGTCATTGAGGACATTTTTCTTAAATTTCAGTTGGAAAGCAGAGTAATTCTGTGTTGTAGTGCCTATGGTTTTCTCCTGCATTTTCTTTTTTCTTACCAAAACAGCAGCGGTAAGGGCGTCCTGTGCTAATTAGATTGTTTGCCATTGCAGGAAATTCTGGGAAGATTTTGTGGAATGGGAATTGGGTGACATTTCTTGACACCATGCTGCATTTGATGATTTTGGGGGAAATGGGACGAAATCTGCGATTGCCAACCAGAATCCGTTCAGTGTGCATTGACCCAAAACTACATCTAGAGTTTGTTCAGAAACACACTGAAGAGACTGAAGGTAAAAGAGCATCTTGCCATTTATTTTTTATGTTTTGCTATAACTTCTTTAAAAAAGCCAACATGTTAAATTGGCTGTCCCAACCTAAAGTTGTAGGATAAATTTTGGGGAGCAAAATTAATAATTAGTACAGGTAGTCCTCAATTTACTGCCACACTTAAGCCCAAAATTTCAGTTGCTAGGTGAGACAGTTAAGTGGACTTTGCCCCATTTTATGATCTTTTTGGCACAGATGTTAAGTGAATCACTGCACTTGTTAAATTAGTAACACAGTTGTTGAGTGAATCTGTCTTCCCCATTGCTATTACTTGTCAGGCAATCACATGACTCCAGGACACCTCAACTGTCATAAACATGAGTCGCTTTTTTCAGTCGCTATACAAACTGTCAAGGACTACCTGTTGTATCTAGAATTTCCAAGAAGTCATTTTTCTGATGGGTTTTCTTTTACAGTGCTGTCCATTGACTACCTCTTTGCCTTGTAGTTTTAGATGTTGCAGTGGACCGTTGCCTTGATACCATTACAGGAGGAGCTGTTCAGATATCTGGACTTCACTCCACCACAGCTCCTCGGCGACAGCAGGAACAGACTCCTCCCATCCTGGAGAAATTTTGTTTTGTACCCTATGATGAGAGTGGCTGCTTATCCTCTGATGCCAAGCTTCAGTCTACTTTTGAGCACTGCAAAGGTAAAAAGTTCCTTATGATTAGAAGAAATTTTTGATAGGATATACCCTGTAAGCAATGAAGAAAGAGTTATCACTGCATATTCTGTTTGGGTTCTAATTGAAATTTCTGTCTGTTTCAGATTTTGTGGGGTTGTGGAATGGAGGTCTCCCAAAAATCTATTGCTCTCATTTCCACCTTTGTCGCATCCACCCTCTTTTTGAATGATGTCACCAAATAAGCCCCCAAAAGCTCTCTAAATAATTTCTAAATCAACACTCCTCAATTTCCCCCCCCCCCGCTCCCCCAAATGTATCATCCTAACACCGTGATGGCAGAGCCATTTGTTAGGGCACGCGAGGTGTTGCCCTGTCAGCTCCAGCGCGCATGCATGCCCTGGCAAACTGACTTCGGCTTTCTTTTGAGGCTGTTTTTTGCCCTCTGGAGCCTTCAGGAAAGCTCCAGAGGGCAAAAAATGGTCCTACAAGCAAACCGGAAGTCCGTTCCTGAACTTCCAGTTTGCACGTAAGGCCGTTTTGTGCACTCCAGAGACTTAAGAGAAGCTCCTGAAGCCTCCGGAGGGCCTCCAGAGAGGGCAGGGGAGGCTGTTTTTGCCCTCCCCAGACTCCTAGAAAGCCTTGGAGCCTGGCGAGGGTGAAAAAAGCATGCCAAAAGCAGGGGGTGAGGGAAAGCGCTGGTCACACATAGCATTATGGGTGTGCCACACCGAACCCCCCCCTGCTCCCCCTGCTTTTGGCACACAAGCCAAAAAAGATTAGCCATCACTGTTCTAATACATCTAGAAGGCATCAGCTGGGGAGAACACTCCTTGAAGAGGCTTTTCAGCCTCTTTAAATTTAAAGTTTGAGATTGAAAGACTGCTCATCTCTTGTGTGTATACACTTAGTTACGAATATGTTGGATAGGAAGAATTCTTAGCAAAGATACCTAAGTTACATACTGTATGTGTATGAAGTAGGAACATGCTGCGCTAAGGACGCAAAGGAGCAGGCATTGAAATGCATGGTGTACTTGTTGGTACCTCTTTCAAGAAAATGTATCTTCCTGGGCTCCCATGTTAGCCGCATGATCTTTTAAAAAATTGTGCTTGACTTTAGGAGGTAGTTTGTCACACCCCGCTAGGGCCTTCTCAACTCAAATCCATATTTTCCAAACTTCACATGCCTATTACCCAAACCCACAAAAAAAAACCAGCTACTTTAAGGAAGTGCTGACAAGTGCAGTGTGCATACTCTGAACCGTTGTTTGGCTTTGGATGCGAAGTGCTTCATGTCCCTAAACACTTACAATAGAAAGCCTTCTGTAACTTAGCTGCCCTGGCTTAGGATTCTGGGAGCCACAGCCTTAACACATATAGACTTTTGGATAATGTGGATATAATTTGGTCTGTTGCAGAAAGTTAGAAGACATAGAGAATTGCTGTTGAATTAAATGCATTCTGTGAAAAACAGTTGTTGGTCTGAACTAGAATACTGGAAGAAACCACCACTATAAAGTATTTTATACCTTAGTTCTTTTCTTTCCAGTGCTGATCCAAAACCTACAGAAGAAGATAGCAAAGCATGGAGTCAAGATAACGATACCTGGGCTAGATGCTCTCAAAAATGTCACACAAGCCGAAGTTGAGCAGAAGGGTCTTGCTCATATTCTTGCTGAAATCTGCCGCCTAGAGCTAAATGGAAATCTCTATTCAGAACTAGAACAGGTTGTGGCTCGGGAAAAGCTGCATCTTCAAGAAGACTCTCTTCTCAATGGCTTGCTGGATTTTGCTGAATTGAAGACTTGTGTAGATGTAGTCCTGGAGAATATCACCAGTCACAAGATGAAAATCATAGAGGTAACTATGAAACAATTCTACTGTCCCACTTGTTCTTTCTCCCATGCATTAATACCGATAGTTCTTGTTTAACAATCACGTTTGAGACCGGAAACTAGATCATTAATTGAAGTAGTCAATAAGTGAAACCATGATTGTGCTTACAATCTTACTTCAGCTTTCCTTTGCTTTAAAGACTGAAAAGGTGGTAAACACACAAGGTTTGGTAAAAAGTCACTTTTTCATCACTGTTGCAATTACAAAGAATTGCTAAACAAGGCAGTTGCTGAACAAGGACTACCTTTGTGTGTGTCTGTTTGTGTGTGTACCTACACACACACAAATACACATGTTTATTGTGCTCTTTCAGGCTCTAGCAGGAGATGGACATCTATTCTCACGAGTTACGAGCATCTTAAATACCCAGCCCATGCTGCAACTAGACTACACTGCCACTGACCGAGTACTAAAAAATCTGACATCACATGAGAACGATTTGCAGGAAATCGGTGCCTCTATGGAGCAGTGGGATCCTGCCAGTCCTCCTCCTGGAAGCTTGACAAATGCTGATCTCCTAGTATGCAACTGCTCACTGAATGCTCTCAGCAAGCCAGCCGAAACACTTTCTAACATGGCAGCCACGGTGAAGGATGGTGGTTTTATCTTACTGCACACTCTTCTGAAAGGAGAAACCTTAGGAGAAATAGTTGCTTTTCTCACATCCCCAGGGCTTCAAGATAAACCAGGCCTTCTAAATCAGGTATGAAATATGCCCTCCTATTTCTCTACAGCTGCTTCAGAATGGTGTTGTCCAGCCCTCTTCTGTTTGAGGAATTCTAGGAACTGCCAACTCAGCACATCTATCTAAAAGATGTCAGATGAGATTTTTTTTCTTTTACATTTCAGAGGGGGGAAATTCATAGTGTAGTCTAAAAGGTTTTTAAAGTCTAGAGAAGAGTAGCCATAATGTATTTAAATAACTATTAAGTCATGTCACTATCTACCTCAGATTGACAGGAATAAAAATCTCTTATCCATCTTTCCAAAGATTAGAAAGTGACTCTTTACATTGCATAATAAAATAAAGACAGTAACCTGGAAAAAGACCAAGCTCTGATCCTAGTTACCTGAGTGACATACTTCCTACAAGAATTAAATATGAAAAGAAGCCATTTTGATAGATCCAGTAGGTACAGTGAAATTGACTAATGTGGGAGAAGGACAACAGACTGATAGATAAATGCTTGTACACATCAATGTGAAAGATAGCTAAAGCTATCCCATATACATTAATAATTCAACTGAATTATCTGAGATTTACTTTTGAATCAATTTAGACAATAAAACATAATTTTAAGTACCAATTACTTCCCAGGCTCTCAAGCCCTAGATACTAGTTACCATTAAATATATTCTTAACGGCAGGTTAGTGATATAGTGTTCTAGAAGTAGCAGGTGGCAGGTAGGTTAAAGGTAAGAGCATCAGTAAGAAACTAAATGATTGGCAACAGGACAGTACCCTAAAGTTTGTTTAGTAAACAACAAATGAGAAATATTACTCTTCAAGAATCACACGACTGGGTGATTTACTATACTAATTTTCCTTGGTTTGGCAGGTAGAATGGGAGAACTTATTTAAGAAGACTAGTCTAAATTTGGTAGTTGTGAAAAGGTCATCTTTTGGCGCAGCAATCTTCATATGCCGCAAGCCACTTCCTACCAAGAAGCCCATTTTCCTACCGGTGGAAGAAACCAATTATAAATGGGTGGAACCTTTGAAGGTAAAAACTTAGAAGTACTTGATTTTCTTTCTTTTTCTAAAGTTTCCTAAAGTTTACAGCTGTCAGTTAACAGGATTTCAACTTTTAGTATACAAATCCTTTGAAATTTGAGAGTTGCTATTTTCATATTACGCATTATGGAAATCACTATTCCATGACAACTAAATAAGATATTTCTCTTTCAGCAAATGCTAGCAGAGCCTTCTGAACACTCTGTGTGGTTGACTGCAAAAAACTGTGGTACTTCTGGAGTTGTTGGTATGGTCAACTGTCTCCGTCAAGAACCTGGTGGACACAGAATCAGGTAGAACAATATAATATTTAGAGACACTATACATTTTTTAAAATTACTTGGGGGAAATAAGGAATAGACTAAACAGTGTCTTTTACTTCCTAGGTGCCTCTTCATCTCCAATCTGAATGCTGCTTCTCCTAACCCGCCTACCAACTCTTCTGCTAAAGAAATGCAAACAATTCTGCAAAATGATTTGGTCATGAATATTTACCGTGATGGAAAGTGGGGCTCTTTCAGACATCTCCCACTAAAGCAAGGTGAGTTTTATTACAAAATGTAGAATGTGCTCACAAAAGGACGAGGGGGGAAAATGAACATTTGCTCCACTGTCTCTCACTTAATCTCTCTATTCTTTATAAATGTAAATAGTCTTCTTGTGACACTTGTCTCAGTTCTAGGTAACAGTGAATGCCTTTTTGGTACAAATGAGTGGTGTGAATTGTCTTGTAGTGAGTTTACTTTAGAAACCCAAAGCCTTGGGAATGTTGGAATGGAATGTTCCATTCTAACTAATTAACTCAGGCTCCTCCCAATGTTTAAGGAGGAAAATAAATTTGTCACATTTGCACCTGTAAAATGAAAGAATGCTAAGTTGTACATCTCCCAATCTCCTCCAGCTCAATCTCAAGTGGTTACTGAATATGCATTTGTGAATGTTTTGACACGTGGGGATCTTTCCTCTCTTCGCTGGATTTCTTCCCCACTTCAGCATTTCTGCACAAGCAATCCCAATGTCCAGCTGTGCAAAATCCATTATGCATCTCTAAATTTCCGAGACATTATGTTGGCCACAGGAAAACTCTCCCCAGATGCTATTCCTGGTAAGTTGCTTTTGTTTTAATAGAGGCTGAGAGAAACATATTATATATAAGTATTTAAATGAAAGAGATGCTTCCATTAAAATTGAATATGGATAACTAGATGAAAACACAGCACAGTACAGTAATAGAGAACATGATGGTTTGCAAAAGACCTTGAAAAGTAGTTACCAGTTATAACAGTTGAATAATTAAGTGCTATGGCTGGTTACAAAGCAACTTTGTAGTTTTTTTATAAAAAATTTTTCCAGAAACTCCTCTCCACTTGAGTGTTCTTAAATTATTGCTTAATGATTAGAACCCATTGTCAGGATGAGTCTTAAATGGTATTAAAGTTATGGAAATATAAAAGTTTTCTATTATATATGTGTGTCCTAAGATTTTATCTTATTATATATATATTATCTTATTATATGTATTTTCTTCAAAAACTAGATTAACTCTTTGGCTAAGATAGTATAATATATGGCTTGATACAATATCTGTAGAAATAATTAGAGAATGGATATCTTCAGGAAAGAAATTTGATATTAACATGATAATATTCTAAATTAGGTAAAGAATAGAATCCGATTGGAGGTGAGCTGAATCCTTCCTGAGTCTTATCCATACAGACTATCACAAGAATAGGGCTAAAATTTCCACCCCCATCCCCACCCTAGAAACACTTTGAAGGAATATTTTGGTGTCAAATAAAATATTAAGATCATTTTTAAATTAAGTCCACTTTCAAGTGGGATTCCTTGATGATGTGCCCATCTTGGAGATAAACTGTCTACAATTGGCACTTTAAAATGTTCCTGCTAGAAAATCTTGTCAAACATTGACTCTACATGTCAAAATCAGAATTCTGGGGAAGAGCAGTGACCTTACCTGAGGAGAAATTGAAAAGTCATTGGGGGTCACATATTTGAAGCAATTACCAGTCTTTATGTGGATTGAAGTCAGAAGTGGAAAAGTTAGTGCTACAGTCTTGATAGGCAGAGCAAATACATTCAGTCAAATGCTAAACTGTTAAACATTAGAAATTATTTTCTCACATTGCAATTTCTAGCTGGGGATACTCAGTTGCAAATCAAAATTGACATACCTTTTCACCATCAATGTGCATGAGAAAATTAAGACATCAGTATGGACATTAAAGTCCATAAATGTCTGCCAGTAGCATGTCATTGGAGCAGTTTCACAGGAACATACAATTTTTTTTCCAGGAAATTGGACACTGCAACAATGCATGTTAGGAATGGAGTTCTCAGGATATGACCCTACAGGGAAAAGGGTAATGGGTTTGCTACCAGCTAAAGGACTTGCTACAGTGGTAGACTGTGAGAAGAGATTCCTATGGGAAGTGCCACAAAACTGGTAAGTTTTGATTACATTGCAATCCCTATTGTATCCCTACATTTGCAATATATAATGGGATTTAATGTAAGAAACATTATGATTGAGGAAAATGCAGAGCCTTTGATTTTATTGGCGCCCACCAATTTTTATTTAGGATTCTTTTACCAAGCGGGATGATGAATACCTGGGGATCCTGGTAACTTAATTTTAAGAGACTGAACGGATTGTTAATATTTGTTCTACTTTAAGAACTTTTTAAAATTACATTCTGGAAATTAACATGTTCAGATCTGGCTTATGTAAAGAGGAAATATAGGGAGGAGAGAAAAAGCAACCAAGCAAATGTTTTCTGGCACAAATTTTTCATTACCACAGCGTTCTTATGATCAGCTGCTACTATAGAAAGAATTCTGGATGAAAAGATGCAGTTTTAAAATGGTGCACATAGTTGAATGACCCCTTGAGAAAGAAAAGTGCAGATTCCAAGTGGCCTCTCTTCCTCATAACATCAGTTACGATGAAAACTGACAAGAGGGGTGGGAAATAGAGGTATGAAGGCCTGCAAAGAACTTCTTGCCATTTTTCAGGACCCTGGAAGAAGCAGCTTCTGTGCCAGTGGCCTACACGACTGCTTACTATTCCTTGGTGGTTCGAGGGGGCATGAAGCAGGGCGATTCTGTTCTCATCCACTCAGCTTCAGGAGGTGTGGGCCAAGCTGCCGTTGCTGTTGCCCTAAGCATGGGCTGCCAAGTCTTTGCCACTGTGGGTACGTAGCTGCCTTTTCATTGATTCAAACAACTGCTTCAGCCTTTCTATTTGTAACTTTTGTTTTCTTCTCTGAAGAATGAAAACATAGGAAACAATGTGGAATAACCTCCCCATAGAATTTAGAATGACTCCAATTTGTTGACCTTTTAAAAGTCTTTAAAAACCTGCCTGTGTTCCTGAGCCTGCAGATCTGCATTTACTGTTAATTGGCCAAATATCTTGGCCAGTTTATTTATTTTGGATGGGGTTTTAAAAAATCTTTTTAATTGTTCTATACTTTTGAAATTTTAAGCAGCTCAGAGCCTTGAGATGGCCAGCTATAGAAATTGGATAAATGAATGAATGAATAAATAAGTTATTTGTTTTCAGAAACAAACATGACTTGAAGAACTGAGAAAAATAATGTTTCTTTTATTCTTTAAACATATGCCTTATTTGATAATATAAACTAAACCTGGGAGAAGTAAATAAGGACAGGTTGACTTTTAAAAAAATATTGTAATAGATTAATTTCTATGTCTCTTCAGCCATCATCAGATGCCAATTTATCAGAATGTGACTGGCATTATCCAATAGTGTCCATGAAATGAGAGAGATCAAAATCAAAATTTTCAAGATGGCAGGTGTGATGATCTAAGTTCCACCACCCCTTTGATATCTACATCAACATCAATCACACTTTCACAACAAAAGGACACATTTCAGTCACATTGTTGTAGCACCATCTTGCAGATTTTGACCCCACACTGTAGGTGCTCGTGGCATTCTCTGTCTTCCTTAAAGGCCTCTGAGAAGGAAGTGCTATAAGATATTTGAATTGAGAGGAACACATTTTTCCTATTTTCAGGTTCCAAAGAGAAACGTGAATATCTCCAAAAAAGATTCCCTCAACTTGATGCAAATAGCTTTGCCAATTCTAGAAATACTTCCTTCGAACAACACATACTGAAAGTTACTAATGGCAGAGGTAAGTGTAAATGCTGGAGGCAATCATCCCGCTATGGTAAAAGTTTAATTAGAAGCAAAGAGTGTAGATGACCAAATCTTGTAGGCTACTTTATTGACTTTGTTGAACATTTTTGCAGGTGTTGACCTTGTGTTAAACTCCTTATCAGAAGAGAAACTCCAGGCCAGCCTTCGTTGCCTTGCTCGTCATGGGCGCTTTTTGGAAATTGGGAAATATGACCTGTCCAATAACACACCTCTTGGTAAGATTTTTCAGCCTGAGTATCTATGTGCAGGATATTTCTGGACTCTACTGGGCAGTTGTAGCACAAATGTACTCATACCTTTTGGACATATACTTTGATTTGAGCATAAAAAAGGCATTGCACCAATCAAAACAGGCACTAACAGATGTCTTGAATCACCTCTTACCCTAAACATCTTTTTCTTGGCATTCTGGTACTATAATGCTTGTAACTAACTTTTTGAATAGAAGAGTTATGTGGGTGGAACTTCCCTAAAACTAGTTCATCTTAAATGTTACATGTTTTATTTCAATTAAATTCATAGGAATCATTTCATAAAAAGGATAGTTTCATAATTTTTTTTCTAATCTGATTTTGCTCTGGTTCATTATTAATTATTTTAAAAATTTATGAGAATTTCGCTGGCAACAGAAGCTACATTAAGGTAGAAGAGTCATAACTGCATTGCTTCTTGTAGGAATGGCTCTTTTCCTGAAGAACGTGGCTTTTCATGGAATTCTACTAGATGCTATTTTTGAAGACAAAAACAAAGACTGGGAAATTGTGTCCAACCTGCTAGAAGAAGGGATTAAAAATGGTGTAGTAAAACCTTTGCAGACTACTTTGTTTAACAGAGAAGAAATAGAAGCTGCCTTCAGATACATGGCACAAGGAAAACACATTGGAAAAGTGGTAATCCAGGTACGATCCAAGAAGGCTTTGGGAAAGCTGTACTATATAATTGTGAATACTGATACCTGCTGTGAATATCTGTAGAAAAAGGAGGGGGGAAGGGAGAGGGTATGTTGAAGAATGGAGAAGCTGAGTTAGTATGTAGACTCCTGGGAGGGGAGGGGCAGGGTGGGCGGAGACATCCAGGAATGGGATTTGGCGGTTCTCCGAACTGCACAGTATCTTAGCTAGAGGTTCTCCCGAACCCCTGCGAACCCCCAGCAGCCCACTCCTGCATAACAGTCAAAGCAGTCCAACAGTGGAACCAATTACTGAGGAAAATAGCGTGTTCCTTTTCCCTGGATATGTTCAAACACAAACTGGATAAGGATATTTAATTTGAACTTCTGCACTGAGAAGGGTGTTGTAAGAATTGTTATAGACTCCCATATTGCCAGAATATACAGATAATAATAATAATAATAATAATAACAACAACAACAACAACAACAACAACAGCAACATCATCAAGCATGGAGAAGTAAAAACTATTGTCAGGCG